CAATTCCTAGGTTACAGCCTTTTCTCATTTGAATGCTGGCTGATCAATATGCATAGTCCACTATGGCTCACTCCAAAGCAGAACCCATTTCACTTGAAAGCACACTGCAGATGATGGTTTAGCTCTGACTACAAAACAATAACCCTTTTCAACAAACAGAGCACTAACAAGTGTTTCTATAAGGATATAACAGGAGAAGTACTCTGTAGACTCCAAATATGAAACAAGGTCACCTGAGTTTAAGCAGTTAGTAGGCTTATTTTGGCAACCTTGTGCCATTGTCAGATACAAAAACCCAGAGAAGACAGTTAACATTCTGTATCTTTCATCTGAAAAACTAAGCACAGAGTAAATCACAATTTGAACTCCAAGCCAAATCAGGTCTGGGAACATCCAAAAGATTTCATGAACTGTTCTAGTTAAAGCAGGCAGGAAAATGCTTCTATTTTTATGTTAAGAGTATTTTAAATTTTATTTCCTTAGTCTTTCTCTGTGCTGTAACCTTACATATTCAAGCAATAATCGAACAGAAGGATGCCAAATCCTTACCTGTTAAAAAGATACAGAAATTAAAAGACAGATGTTAAAAACGTCACTAAAAAAAGGCTTGTTGCTGCTGAATTAACTTCAACTTTCCATCCTCATTTGAGAAACAACATATTTCTATAATGAAACTAGAAGCATTTATACTACACTGTAGAAAGCACTATTTATTCTGAGACAGCCAGAAGTGATTGCTTAAGTATATTAATAGAGCCATCAGTTATATACAATAAATACTTCCTGATCTAAATGTATAGAATGTATGTTAGAAAACAAAAATCTCAAAGGAAATTGAAGATCACTTAAATAGGAAGATAAGCTTACCATGAATGATACTAACAACCTGATTAATCTTCCTCCTAAGTATTTTGTAACTCTTCAGTGTGTAACACACAAAGAATGTCCCAGGTGAGTTTCCACAAGAGTATGCAGATGACAATACACTGTTTTCAAGAGGTAGATACAAGGCTTAACAGAAGCCAGAAGGTAGATTTCACTCAAGAGCATAGTCACACTGTGTTGTATTCATAATGATACAGTTTGTTTCAACTATCCTGTTGTCTTCTTTGTGACTATGTGTCAACTCAGAGAATGGGGAAATGCTTGCTTGATTATTAATAATAATAGTCACAATGATCGTTTACACTTTTACATACATGGAATAATCTTGCTGTAAAATCTAATACATGGCTTACACTTAAACATAATGGTTTAACTGGTTAAAAAGGTATGATTCATCTACTCTGCCAGATAGGAGACAGAGGTCCAAAGAGGTAATGAGCTATTACATTTATTGCTGGTCTAGCCACTTCTGCAACACACTCTTGCTTGAGCAAAAATCCCTTACCAGAGAAGTCCTGAAGGTAAAATTAATTTAATATCAACTTTAATATCAACTGACATCATTATGTCTCAGTTCTAAGTGACTGAGCCCCTAGCCATTTCAAAGAGCAGTGTGAAATATGATAACGCACATATTCAGTATGAGCTTATTTCATCTCAACTGCTGCTAAAAACAGTTTAGGGAAGTCCAACCTGTATTAGAATAATACTGTATTAGAAGGTATTAGAATTCTTCTGTATTAGAAGGTATTAGAATTTAGCCCATCTCACAAATGCTTTAGATATCTTTTAATAAAGCAGACTCAAATTTCATTGTGAGCATGTAAAAGTTGATTAAACAGGTTGGGCAACACAGCCATTCAGAAGAACTCTCCAAATATGTTCAAACCTTTTTAAGCCTGTATGAGCAGCACTGTGTTGCTAAAAGATGGGAAAAGGTGCATGGGGGGTGTGTACACACACCCATACATCCTTCCAGAAACGCTAATCCAAAGCTTTCCCTTCAAGATCAGGGTTCCTTGTACAGTAATACGGTTAATGGGTAAAATGCACCCTACACTCACAAGATCACACTATGTCAAATCTAGGTTAAATCCTAGGCTTAACTCACCTCCCACATAAGCTGTTAAAACTAATAATAAATGCAATAGGACCATTGGAATTAGCATTAGATATAAGTCAACCTAGTTGACCTCTATTGCACCTTTTAACTAGAACGCAAACTACCTTGAAGGATGATCTCCACTCATCATCACTTCTTATACCTTCACTCAACTCTTACTACCTATCAAGAACAGAATGGGACAAAATACTCCCGCTCTTTGATTTTGAGCTCATTGGACTGGTATGACAGTTTGCTAATGAAAGGAAGGATGACACACTAGAAGGCTTTGCTGAACTTCAGGCAACAGGACTGAAATAGTTTCAACTAATTTGCTGCCAGTATCTCTTTCACCTTTCAAGCTAACTCAACTTGTTTGCAAGAGACAAGCAGCTCCACAGGAAAGAACAAAAGTTTTATTCCTTCAAACCTACATAACAAACATACTGCCTTTCCTGTAGCTGGTATCTCTACTTGGACTGCAAGTCGTGTGTTGAAATCAGTGGTTTTGTTCCAAAACTGCTTGTTCAATAACAGATCAGAAAGCGATAAAAGGACAGCCATGACCTTTAAAGCCAATATACATGTTTTGGTCAAGCTGATCTGGAAGTAATTCTGAACTGAAGAAGAAACAACTTAGAAACTGACTAGATTCCACATTATAAAGTGAAAACAAAAGGGCAGTCTTAATTGCTGTTCTGGTTTCAGCAAGAATAGAGTTAATTTTCTTCTTAACTGCTGACATATAACTGTGTTTTGGATTAATGATGAAAAGAATGTTGATATCACACTGATAGTTGTCGCTGAGCAACTAAGTCAAAGACTTTTCAGCTTCCCATGCTCTGCTGGGAGAGGAGGTATAGTGGAAGCTGGGAGGGAGCATAGCCAGGATACCTGACCCAAACTAAGAAAAAGGGATATTTCATAACGTATGACATCATGTTTGGCATATAAATTGAGGGGAGGTTGCTGGGGGGTATGCCTACTCCAGAACTGGCTGGGCACTACCAGGTAATGAGCAGTTGTGCTGTACATCACTTGTTTTGTATATTCTATTAATATTATCTTCCTTTTTGTTCTATTAGATGGTCTTTATCTCAAGACATTGAGTTTTACTGCTTTTTTGACTCTCCTCCCTATACCATGGGAGGGAGGGGGGGGTGGTGAACAAGCAGCTGCATAATGTTTCACTTGGTGCTGGGGTTAAACCATGACAGTTATCAATTCTGCCTATGATATTGTGTGCTTTTCAACAGATCAGAAAGCGATAAAAGGACAGCCATGACCTTTAAAGCCAATATACATGTTTTGGTCAAGCTGATCTGGAAGTAATTCTGAACTGAAGAAGAAACAACTTAGAAACTGACTAGATTCCACATTATAAAGTGAAAACAAAAGGGCAGTCTTAATTGCTGTTCTGGTTTCAGCAAGAATAGAGTTAATTTTCTTCTTAACTGCTGACATATAACTGTGTTTTGGATTAATGATGAAAAGAATGTTGATATCACACTGATAGTTGTCGCTGAGCAACTAAGTCAAAGACTTTTCAGCTTCCCATGCTCTGCTGGGAGAGGAGGTATAGTGGAAGCTGGGAGGGAGCATAGCCAGGATACCTGACCCAAACTAAGAAAAAGGGATATTTCATAACGTATGACATCATGTTTGGCATATAAATTGAGGGGAGGTTGCTGGGGGGTATGCCTACTCCAGAACTGGCTGGGCACTACCAGGTAATGAGCAGTTGTGCTGTACATCACTTGTTTTGTATATTCTATTAATATTATCTTCCTTTTTGTTCTATTAGATGGTCTTTATCTCAAGACATTGAGTTTTACTGCTTTTTTGACTCTCCTCCCTATACCATGGGAGGGAGGGGGGGGTGGTGAACAAGCAGCTGCATAATGTTTCACTTGGTGCTGGGGTTAAACCATGACAGTTATCAATTCTGCCTATGATATTGTGTGCTTTTCCTCCATTTTCACACAACTGATCAGTTTGTAACAACTTGCATTCATGAGTGTCACTGAAATTTGCTGCAGAAAATGCAAGCGAGGAATCAATAAGGACAATGTGTGTGTGTGCTGGTTTATCTGTTTTTTTTAGTTTTGTATGCAAGATAATATTTAGGCACATTACTTGGGAAATGTAAAATAAATCACTGGCCATTGTTCAAAGTAGCTTTTTGGTTTTAAATTCTAGTCAGGAAAACAAATGATGTAAAAATAAATGAATATAGCTATTGCAGAAACAAAAATGGAATTGCATCTAAAAGTGCAAGAGTGAACTACTTTAACCCTTTCACCAGACAATACAGCAATAGACAGTATATTGCTTCTTTTTGTTTGAGAAGGCTGTTGGAATTTTACACTGAAATAGAAAATTATAAATTACACAGAATTAGTTTCTATGGTCACTATATATATACACACACAAACCAGCTGTGAAATAACTGGTTTAGAACATACAAATGAAAGCCTCACACAGATCAGCGCAGTGACAGTAACAATTAACATGCTCTGCTGCCAAAATTTGTATTAAAACCACTAAATACTTTTTAAATGCATGTACTGTAATTACATAGCAGCATGGGCTTTTCATTTACTTGAATTGTCTAAAAGGATTACAGCATTTCAAATATGCAAATTGTTCTGAAATGTTCAGTGTTATTCTTAATCTTGGTGAATGGGTTAAAAGGCAAGTGAATCACTTAACACAACAAGCTATGTGCACTTCAAATATTCTAGTGTTTCACCTGTAAGGTATTGTTTCAAGCAAACAAGACTTAACAGAACATATGGCAACTAAGTTGTAGCAATAAATATTTAAAATCTCTACCAATAGACATACTTTGTTTTAAACAATACAGAAAACAATTACCAATTAAAAAACATGTTGTAAAATGTTGAACACCCGAAATTCTTATTTAAATCGCTTCTGTAAGCTAAAACAACCAAAATAACATTTATAGGGTTTTTCAGTTTCAGAAGAAACATTAATTCATTCTTTTCTTTTCTTTTTACAAGGTGAAAAATGTATGAAAACTGCTAAATACTTTGGTCACACTAATCATCAAATAGTTGTCTCAAATACATTAGATTTGTGTATTCACTTTTTTATAAAACTATTCTTACAGCCATTTTAACTACAGTAACACTACTGTCATCATTACCTGGGTAGCATGATCTTATTTCACAGGCTACCCATTATTAAGAACAATACAATATAAACGTACGCAAAAATTATTGGTATTTCTCAATGTGCAATATTTTTACACTTAGGAATTTCTGTACAATGTCTTAAAATCTAGAATATAAATGTTGCTGGTCCTGATCCCTTGCAAAATTAGTGCAGAAGTGACTGGCTTCAACAGGGTCTAGATGAAATCCTCAAGAAACACTCAAACACCTGGATCTCAGTTCATTTTCTTCAGCCAAGGTAGCAGACATCACATATCATACAGGGCCATTAACAGACCCCTCTTCTAAATGGGTTTGTTCCTCAGTCCTAAGAGGTCAAAAAAAGGTTTAAGTATACAGGAAATAGGAAAGGTCCAAAACATATTTTGGTAGATGCAAAAAACCCCCCAAAAACCTAACAACCGCAGATCATGTGTAGCATGACCCGTGAGTCGAAGTGAGGAAACACAGGCTAATAACATGCTCATCCCACTTATTATCTGGAGTCCTTATTGCCTACTTAACCAAAGCACTTTAATTAACTGAGCACACCACTGAATACTGTTTTCTCTTTTATAACTGAGCTAAAAATGATCTCTAGAGATGTGATATTTCCCCAAGAGAATCAGTAATAAAAAGCGTGTTTCTGATACTTCTCCAAATCTAATTCTGTGAGACAAAATGTGATACCAGGAGTATTTAAGACAGCAGCTAAGACACAACAGGAAAAACAACAGTGTCTTTAAATAAGTACTTCAGTTACTAATCTAATCTTCAAACTGCCATTTCAAAAATACTTTTCACTCCAGAAGCATGAAAAATTCTGGAAATACGGAGGAAAAATGAGCAAACCTGGAAAAGTGAAAACAGTAACAGTACATACATTTCTAGATAAGAAGTTTAGTGTAAACATGAGCTCAGTTGCTCTGGACTAACAGAAATAAAGATCAAATCAGTTGTGCATTAGACCATTAAGAACTGCAAAGAACAAAGGCAAAAAAACTCAACTTCCCCTCAGTGTAAGTCTATTGAATACAATTGGAAATTCCCTTAAATAATATAAATACCACTTGGAACTACACATGAGAAAAGTTACCTGTAACTCCTGTTCTCTGATGGTGTACATCACAGAGAAGCCAGTCTTGGGTCCGTGCTCTACATGCACATGACCAGCAGGAGTCCCCTAGCTAAGTCTTTGGCTGCTAAGCGCTAAAAATACTTTTTTTTTTAAAAAAATATGTACACATTAGACAGAAGACAGACCACACTTGACAAAAGTAAACACTTTTTAGAGAAACCTGAAAGGTAAGAAACAAGTGCTGTGTGGATAGGAAGTTTGAGTCTGCAGAGCAGTAAGTCACTTCCTAACTGGAAAAAAGGCCATGATAGAACAGATTACTACTGCTGGCCACCAGCCAAAGACCTACCTAGGGGACTCCTCCCACTAGTCATATATGCATGGAGCCCCAAAAGCACAATTATGTTTATCTTCGTATTTATACTGCGCTTATTTGAGCATCTGCTGTGACAGCCACCTTTAGAGAAAGTACTGAACTTCACTGGCTTCAATAAAAAGTTTCTGGAGATTCCTGCAACTCAAAAGCAATCCAACAAACTGTTAGGTCCAAGATCCCTCTCCATTGGTTTAGAAAAGCACCTTTACTCAAAATGCAGTCATGCAGTCATGAAAAAATCCTTCCCTAAAATGTAATGCTTATCAGCATTAAAAATAGTCTTTATAAAGAACAGTTTCTGGTTTTCATGCTTTAACTAATCATACAGCTTTGTGGGTTTGTTTTTTTTTCTGATTAGAATCCACTCCTTGTCTAAAGTTATGCATAACAAAATTCTGGCTTACATGAAAAAAATAGCACTGTTTTACTGTAACATTCAGTACCATAGTGGTAAGATATGAACAAGTCTTAAAAAAAAATGTTTCTCTAATAACAGTTTAAATAACAGTCAAGAAACAGCAAGTTTTAAACATTAGAAAACTTTTTTTAGGCATTAGAACAACTAGCAGATACTAGTAAAATACATATTTTCAATTCAGATTTTCAGAATAATATTTTATAGTGCAAGGCCAAGTGACTCCTGGAATTGCTTTTTATTTAGCAAAATCCTTCTCTCCCTCAGCTCCCCAACAAGAAGGCAGCATGCACAGACTACCCAAGCTCTGCTCTTCAGGAAGAAGAGCAGACCCTACAGATTAACTCAGGGTTTAGTAAATACACAGTTAGCTTTTCCTTTTACAAGGGTTTTCTTTGAGATAGCACAGTTGTTCTGGGTACCTCTGAACTACATCTAAAACAGGAAATGGCAGCATACCATCCTTTTCCTTAACACCAAAAATCAAGCCTGATGGTCAACAAGCCATTAGTTCTCCTAGGAAACCAGCAAACTCTTCCCTGTATATTAAAGTACTTACAAATAGCTAAGTTCCAGAGCAAGGTTTTCACTGAATACTGTCTTCAAAGGTAGAAATATTCTCACCTACTTTAAGCCTTTGTTTTAGGCTTTTAAGATAAAACTGATTAGAAGTCTAGAAACTAGCTCAGATATGAAACACCTGCAGTAAGTATTTCTAACATTTGGTGATTATTGTCATTCTTCCTGCATTTGCTTTTGGTGAAGCTAGACTTCAGAGTTTGATTGTATAAGCTTCCACATCATTGTAGCTATAAAGTAAAAAATCCCAAACAAGTACTTCAACAGGAAATTGAACAGGAGAAATACTGTCAAATGTCATTTTTGAAGAAAGCAGTGCTGTCAATTTAAGAGAAACAAATTTATGCAAAAAAGCTTGTAGTTTGGTGGTGGACCCCTCAGAATCCAATCTTGAATCACTATTCCCTAAGACAGTACTAGTACCCAAGCTGCCAAAGAAAATAACTTCTTTCCTCCAATAAGCATGCTGAGTAATCCAGGCTGTTCCATATCTCAGGAAAGACTTAGCTTACGTGAATTTTCAGGACAAAGTCAAACTTACTCCCCTAATTTATTTTTTTAAATCATAATTTTTGTAAGTATGAATGCACTATTTTAACTTGATAATAGATCACAAAATAGAATGGAGATACATATAACAAGCCTGTAAGACAAATAATACAAGGCAAACATTGTTGACAACTCAGAGTCCTAGAATCAACAGAAAATAACACCTGTGAGAATTTTAATGCAATCACGTTTAGATTGAGCTAAACTCAGAGCTGAAAACTAACAGGAATTCATTGATCTCTTTAGATCAATCCTATTAGAAAAACATTCAAATAGCTATTTAGAGGATTGAAAGCATCCTTGAATGCAGTTACCTCTGTTCTGGACTACTGTTAGTAGGCTGCAGAGCTGAAGAAGCCTCTTCTGCAATCTCTGCATTCTCTTCTACTACATATTTACAAGAAGCATTCCGTGAGGGGGACAATTTTCCTTCCTCACTAAAAGAAAAAAAGGAAATAAATTTATGTTTACTTATAGGGAAATTTCAGGCCACATGGGAAAACTGGGAGATGGTCTGTAATTCACATGCAAATGGATTTTAAGTTATGACTGCAACATGAAGATCAAGCACATGGCTCTAGATTTTACAAACACCTAATAATGCATCAGTGCTCACGTCCGTTAAAACTTGACTGGATAACAGGACAGGAAACACAGTGATTACGAATAAGATCAGAAAGGAAATAAGGAATGTGTGCGATGCCTTAAGTGGTAACAATCACAGTCATAATCCACTACTATACATACCGATAGGATTTCAACACTCTGAAGCCAAAAGTATGCAAAAATGGAAGGAAGAAAGTGTAAAAGAAGTTCAAAATTTCCTCAGAAACTGGCATTAGTAAAGTCTGTCCATGAAACATAGCAGCAGAATCATTAACCCATCACTATCTTTATAAAACTCTCAAAGAACTCCACAGTGAACATTATGTGGTACTATGACTGCAGACTGATCTGTTTCATGAACTTCCTCCAAGAGACAAGACCAAACAATTTAGTGAAAAAGCAGTACACTAGCACTTTAAGACATTTCCATATAACCAGGCAGCCTAAGGGGTCATTAGCAATCAAATACTTGTGTTTGGTGGTAATCAAAGCTCTTCTGTCTAAACCACCTTCTCCCACCTCAGCAACGCAGTTATGAATGGATTAAACCACAAATTTCACCATATACATGCCACAGATACTTTATAAGGTAGCTCTGAAGTAGACAAACATCAATCTTACACCTCTGTGGAAACAGATCTCTTTATGCAAGACATCAGGAACATTTTAAAGCCACTTGGCAGAAAATACTTCTCTTCCTATTCTTACAGGGCTCCTTTCAATGGATCCTTTCAATTTTAATGGATCCTTCTCTTTCATCCCATACCTCCTCATACTCACAGAGCCTGTAAAAATATTGTCTGCAAAATGCATTGAAATCTCTCATCAAGATCCAGTTTTCCCCATGTGATCTCCCCATCTGATTTGCTCCTTGTATTAGAACTGGTGAGCTTATTTTCTTATTTTTAAAAGGGGTAGTCTCTGCTATCATTTTTTGCTTCTCATTCTCAATTTTTAACTAAAGTCAGAAACCACATTTTTATACTTTGCAGCTTTCAAAAATAAACTACTGTGCTTATGATGCTCTTCCTTCTCTCAACATTGACTTTAGCACCATCAATTTTCTATTGGCTGAAACCTACATAAAATTTAGGTCTGGAAGCATCCGCTTTGTCAGGTACACAGGCCAGAGTAGGACTTACTCTAGCTACTCAAATTGTCCTTTAATCTAGACTTTTTTCCCCAGCATTTTTTTTTAGATATTTCAGAGGAAATACTACTTTACTTTACTTTCCCATTTATTGTTTTGTTGTATTTAAAAGTTGGTTTAAACCATGCCATGTGAACTTGTGTCCTGGTTTGAGCCAGGATGAAGCCAATATTCCTGTTACTGATTTTTTTTTTCTTCTTTTTTTTTTTTTTTTTCTTCTCTTTAAAGCAGCACACTTGCTGAAACTAATAGCAAGTTTGCCATCTAGTGGATAATGTTGGAATGTTTACAGATATTGCCAAGAAAACAAGGACACTTCGCTCTGCTTGTTGAATCTATGGCTTTAAGACACTAAAGGAGCAGAAATCTCATATCCACAACCCTCCCGCAGGGAAGAGCAGACTAGACAGATGGCAAAATTGGCCACAGATATCCCATACATATGTATACCTAACAGCATAAACTCAGGAACAATGGAAGTTGAGCCTCTTTTGCTTCTCTTTTGCTTACAGCCAGCATCCAGGAGGACTCTGTCCTATCCATCACCGCTGATCCCTGGGCATGCACATTCCCTGACCCTCATAACTTTGCCCTCAGCTCCTTCGCTGTTATCTCTGGAAGTGATCTGGGACATTTTGGAACTGCTCACAGCTAAGGAGAGTGCTGTGGGAATTGCTGAGGGTGAAAGGAGGAGAGAGGGGTTTTAGCACATTCGTGAACACACTTGTATATATTTGTACATATTTTATCATTAGGATTTAAGCTGTCTAGTTTAGTTTTCAATCTGGAAAGTCTCTCTCCTTTCCCTATTTGTGTGGGAGGGGAAGGGGATCAAGTGCATTATTGTCACTTAAGACATCTAACTGCCAATCTTGGGTCAAACCATGACAGCTTGACTCAGTATGAGGCCATATACCTTTGTCAGAGCAGACTACTCTACATTTCAAGATGTGATTGGACAGAGTGCTAGATAATACAATTTGGGTCCCCCCTCCCACAAAAGGTTGGACCAATGATCTTCTGAGGTCCCTTCTGACCTGGGTGATTCTATGGTATTGCTTCCCTTTGCACCTCTGTCTTTTTAGTAAGACCTGAAGTCCTTACTCCACAGCTCAAGCAGGTAATGTAATTAAAACAGTCACAAACTGTCACCAAATGCTGCTTTCTTGTGTTAGCTTTTGCATCAGTATCAGAAGTTCCAGTGTGTGAACTAAAGAAGTTTAAGGAGAAATATAAATCTACCAAGGATAACTAAATCCAACTGTAAACATACAACACAATAAGAGTGCAGACCATATAAAATCATTCCCCCAAATAGAGAATAAACTGGCAAGCAGATGCATAATTTACTAAGTCAGTAAGACACTTAGGGCTCCATGCTACAAGTCTGCACTGAGTCACAATCCTCTAAATTGCTTCAGTTCAAAACCTCTAATAATGCCATTCGATATATAATCACTGTGCAGCAGTAACTCGTTCCTCCTTGGAAAACATCAGAAGTTAAGATGCCAAAAGAGATTAGTTATTCATTGCTTTGATAATCAAAAAGATGGAAGAAAGAGTGACTGAAAGCTGGCAAGCTTCAATTGCTGAACGACCCAAAATGAATAACACATATATTACTGCTAGTGGTACAAAGTAATATGAATTTGAAAGAAGGGCAGCGTAACACTGCAAAGTTTTTTCTACTGAAATGGACTGGGATCTTTTCAAGCAACTTTCAAGACATATGGACAATTTATTTTCAATAGTTAGAGCTAGAAGACACACGATACACAAACTTCAATTAATAAAGGGAAAATTATTTTTTAAGGTCAGACTACAGTCTCCATTTCCCTAAATAAAAATTTGATACTAAATAGTATATACAGTAGTATATACAAAACACTCATAATTCAATCTAAAATCACAAGATCTTAGTAGATGAGATCTCAGGTAAAAATGGAAATTTACTTTTTCCCATAAAAGGATGGTAACGATGATATACATAAGGTAGACTATAACCATATCAAACACTTTGCATTAGAAGATAAAAATTCCGGAGTGTGTTCCTCCTGTTATTGTAGAATTCTATGTCACCTGTAATCCAGAACGTATCTGACACCATCACCAACAATGATCACCCCAAATATCTGATGAGTTGCTCTCAAAAGCAGTGCCAGGTTGGCCTTCAACTTCTATCCTGCATCTTCTCCTGGATAAGAGGTATGACATTCCAATCCAAATTTAACAATTCCGTGCAAAATGTTAAAAGTTTAGCTTTGACATACAATTAACTATGTTGAAGGAATAACTGTACCAAAAAATACACAATAATGTACCTTGTGGTAAAAAGCTATTGAGTCAGTCTTCCACTAATCTTTCACTCAAACCAAGGCTTGATAAGAAAAGTTGTGTATTACAGTAACTAACTGGAAGAAAAATTTCTAAACAATTACTTCAGAAGGTTCCTAGTTAAAGCCTCAGGAATTACCACTTGCAAGTAACTCTGACACTGTTCCATCAACCATGCTTATTTTACCAGGGTGGGAAGACAAACAGGTATTCTCACCTTTTGAAAACAGCTGTTTCAGTTTTAGCATCTACAGTAAGGCTCAGTGTCTCCTTCATGCTGCCATTCATTATTGTTTCAGTTACCTTGTCTGCATTTTCTATGTCATCTTCTCCATCTGAGCTAGCCTCCATAGCAACACTTCCTGGGGCTAGAGATATACAGAAGTAGTACATGACTGGTTATGATTCTATTCCATGAGTAAGCATATGAGCCAATATAAACAGAATGACATCTTTGTAGTTTTGTACACTTAAAATTCTTCCTTACAGAGAAAGTCACTTTTCTGCAACCCCCACTATACACATATGTAGAGCATAAGTACTTCTTAGAGATGGCATAAGAAGTTCCATAATAGGATTTTCTTCATTATAAAAGCTACTTAATGATTTAGACTGACAATGCTTACTGCAGCAGGTTTGCCTGTACAAGCCCACACAATACCAACTTCAAAGTAAGTTTCCAAGTATAGACAAGCTTTTGGGAAGTCCAGTCTCCCTGGACTTCTCATCTGCACTTCTTGTTCTGCCTGTTAATAACAAACAAAATGCTAATTAGCACATTTTCATCCTTTAACCAGTTCAGACATGTAGAAGAAAGAATTAGTACATGCATAGCAAAGGTAACTTGGCAAGGAATGAGCAAGAAGGGGAAGTGTGAACTCTGTGAGGCTACTGTCCCATTGCCACATAGGAAGAGAGTAGAGTCTTCTACTCTTCTCTGACATCAGCTATGCGCTGACCAACATGAACTAAATGCTGGAACAGCTGAGGACTCTAACAGAATACACTTTTAATGACTTTCTGTTCGTGGTGTTTTTAGAGGCTACAGTAACACTGGCCCTTGTTGTAAATAGGAAATTCTTTGACAAGTCATTTTTATGACCTTGCAGAACAGCAGCAGAGCAGATGAGAGGTCTCTGGAAACCTACATTTTAAATTTCAGGGAGATCTCTCTCAGAACTCTTAAAATAAATCTGTTTGCATTTCTGAATTCAGCATACTTACTCTCTAGCTGTGTTGCAAGAGGAGTTACATTTGCACTCAATGGGTCAACTTGGTCTGTGTTTGTTTCCATTTCCACAGGAGAACTGCTTCTTTGAGAATCTTTTGAGCTTCAAACACAATGTAGAGAAGCTTTAGAAACCTTCCTGAATATCAGAATGTAATGTTCTTAAACCAGTATTTTTAGTTCTGTATCAAAGCTATGAGGCCTAGAATTCTACTGAAATAGAATGACAGTAAGTTTGTTCCTAGAAATTTTGGGAAGACATGCTAATCAAAAGCTTAGTCATGCAAAATCGATCAGAACTGAGTATATATGTTTGCTGGTCATTTTATTTTCACTTGTTTTATTTGATTACAAGTAGCAGAAGACATGACCCTGGTAAATAAAGCGTATAAGTATCACTGCCTCCTTGTAGCATTTCCAACATTTTAAACTGACTTTCTAAATGCACTCTGAAACCTTAAAGATGGTTATCTTCTGTGACTGCCAACACAATTCTCATCATTCTTGTGGGAAGTGATTTTGATGCTTAATCATATATGCAGTATGGCTACAAGTTTTTTATTCTGAAAAAACTCAAAAGACAAGTTTTGGCTACTTGAAATACTTCTCACCATTCATAATGTCTTTTCTATCCACTAATGTGGCAACTCCAAGCCTTCATTGTAATTTTTTCACAACACAGAGAAGTTTTGGATTCCCCCTCTCTGAAAGTGTTCAAGGGCAGGCTGGACAGGACTTTGAGCAACCTGGATTAGTGGAAGGTGTCCATGCCCATGGAAAGGGGGTTGGAACTACATGACCTGTAAGGTCCTTCCAACTGAAACCAGTCTAACATTTTCTAAACCCGCATCAACTTCTCAGGTATGCAAAAATACACTGTTTTATGTTGGAAAAATCATACTGCTATACCTGAAGCTTCTTACTGCCCAGATGGAAAATTGAGAGCTAGATGTATAAAACAAAGAGTCTCCTGACTAGAGAAAACAATTAGTTCTTGACTACTGGCCACCTCAAAATATACATCTATGTGATTAGGTACTTACACAAGAGAATTCAGTTATTTTTTTTATGTAGAGTTTAAGTCAAGAAATAAAAGTTATCTTGGACATTCTCTAAATAGTGCAGAACTGCCTAACCTAAGTACCACAGCTGTACAATCAAGCAATTAAAAAAACAAACACAACAAACAAAACACCAACAAACCACAATCTAAGCAAAAACCCCAAACCTATTTGGTTTATAACATCAATAAAACAGACTCATCTTACACATTTTATGACCTTCATGTTTAACAGCTCAAGTTCAACCTTTCACTGGCTTCAGTCTATGCTAAAAAAAAATTAAGGAAAAAAAAATCACAGCTCATATTCTAAAACAATGACAAACCAGAATCCACCAATTCTACAAAAGCCTGCTATAAGTTAGATCATACTGCTATAACACATACTATTACAACACACAGGGCCTTTTGGATACTATGCACTTTGGTATTCCACCAGAACACTACCAACACAGGCTTAGGTAGAAGGCTGACACTCCAAGAAAACCAAAAGGCAACTGCCATTGCATCTAGTAGTGAAGAACTTGTCCTGAAGCACTAACATACTTACCTTAAAGAGGATGGAAACTCTGAAAAGGAGGCCCAACCAGTTTCTTTTGCTGGCATAGGCTCTTCTGTACTCCACACATCAGACTCAGAATGCAGACTGGCAACATGTGCAGTCTCCATGGGTACATCTAAGTTAGCTGACCAATTTGGTGCTGAAAAATCAAGTTCATAGGAAGAAATATAAACATAAAGAACTTAAGTACACACATAGCCAACACACAGTCTCTACATGTGCATTCCAAAAAGAGCAGCATAATTCATAACTACAATTTGAAGCACATGCAGAAGAATCTTCTATATACTGCTTAAAAATGAACGCATTCTCTAGAAGTTATATTCTGCTAATAAGGCAGCATTTAAAAAACAGAGTATACTGCTAAAAAGCAATATAGCTTATCTGAAGAACAAAACCAATAAGCCACACCAGATCACAAGTATAATCCCACTTTATTCTTTAAACGGACATCAATATACCTTATCATTTTTCAAAACTGATTTCTATAATAATAAAAAAATATCTTAAGGAGTTTTCATCTCTTTTTCAGTTTCTTGTGCTCAATTTCTTGAACACAGAAAATGATCATGTCAACTTAGGAATGGCCAGACTCTAAATTTCTCATGCACTAACACCACTGCTAAGTTTCAGAAAAGTTTAAGGCCCTTTACAACGTAAAGTATTTATTGGAATTTAAAATTTCTTAGCAACTGTGACTTAACAGCATCTAATTTAGGATAGGTCAAAATACTTCACCTACCCAATGGAAACATGTTTTTCATTAACACTTACATACAAAAAAACAGGCTGAAAAGGAAGCTCTGACTAGCAATTAGAAATTCCAACCCAGGCAGAAATGGGAGGAGACCCACATGGATCAAAACTTGTTTGACACACAGATGCCAACGACACCAATCTGACAAAAGAAAAGAAAACCCTTAACTTATCCTTCTATTTTAATTTAATTCCTTACAGTCTAGATAAATACAGGGCTTTTACCTACAGATATTGCCAGTTTAACTAAAGCCAGTTTAGTCTACTTTGACTTGAGTGTGAAAACTTAAGCTAATTACATCAGTTAGGTTTCCACATTAAGAGTCTAGTGATGTTCATTGTTTTTTCACACATGAAACCAGAACAACGCAAATTCATTTGGCTTCTGTCTTTTAAAAGAGCACTGTTAGATGAAAATCTGATCTGAAAAGCTTCCAGTAAAAGTAATTGTATTTTAGGTTTGAATATTAAGAACTTATTGTTTTGCAAGCATTCAAGATGCATAAGTTATTACATTTCATCCTTTCCTTCCTGATTCCTCCTCCTTTTGTTCCTCTTGAAGAGCAGAAAAGAATTTTTGAGAGATTAAGTAACTTGACTCAAAATACATAAGGAATTCAAAGTTCCCAACATTTGCATATTGGGAAAGATTAAGCTAGTTGGAATAAAAACAGTAAACAAGGAAAACTCCTATAAAATAAGACTGTTAGATCTAACACTTTCCTATAACTCAGCTGGAAAAAAACTACGTACGTTCAGTTAAGTCTACTTCCATTTTGTCCTCTGTATTGGTGTGTGATTCAAACAAGTCTTGTTTTGTTCCATCCTCCTCTTCAGAATCTGTACTTTCTTCACTGTCTGTACTGCCCGAACTTCAATTACAAAGAGATAGTTTACATTCTGTGTTTAGTATCAGACCCAGTGCACAATTAAATTCTAGACATTTTGAGGCTAAAGTGAATTACAACAGCTGTAATTTCTGATACATTAGCTGAGGTATAATTTGTTAGCTGTTAGCATTCCTCTCATTACTCCTACCACACAAAAGGGAACAGAAAAGGAAAGTCAGGAATAAGATCTATGTACAGAGACTGCTAGTCAATTTGGTGTCTTTACATTAAATGAAATATCTGAAATACAAAACTCTCTTCAACATCAATCTATCAAAACAGAATTTATTACATTTAAATCTCCCTAACTGTATTCCAGTTCATCCTCTTCAATTATATTCATACTTTAAATCCTGTGGGTATCTTACCCTTCCTAGTAAACGCAACTAGCACAAAAAAGCAATGCGAGAAGGTAAGGATGCCTCTGAAACACACCCAATTACATAACCACATCATCGTTAGACAGAATAATTGATTTTGTACAGATGGTATTAGCAAGGTTGCAAGGGAAGAAGAGATCAGGTTTGTGACTCAAGCCATAAGAAGGTAAAAAATCCAAGGCTACCCTGGGACAGAATTCAGTAGATATTAAGGGAAGCTGCACAACCCTCAGTTTTGGGCACCAGCTGCTTTATCCCCTAAATGTAGCTTCCTACAGAGTGTTGTCCACACCAGTGCAGGTATTCTAAGGAGGATAGCCAGGTCTACAGAGGAGTGGAGCTGGACTGCCTTATCCAATGGCTGAACAAGATTAAAAGAAGAGGGAAAGAATAAACAGCAGGAAAAAAGAAACAATTTACAGAAGTGCAGGAAGCTGAACAGGCAGCTGTTTCCATCTTCTGCAAATCATGGCTCTAAGACTAAAGCCACCTCTCTAAACATTTCTTCAAAGAATGAAAATATCTAGTTATACTGGACAGCCTGTACTAACAATCAGCCTGAACCAAAATACATGCTCATTACTGAGGGCTCATTATATTATTTGGATGAAAAGCACATTTTTTTTACCTGGAACGCCTCTGGGACTCTGGTGCAAATGAAATATGTTTTTCTTCCCAAATGTCCTCTTCATCAGAACCACCATCATCAAACTGCTGTATCCGCTCCTTACAGCATGCCTCAAACAAAGCTATGTTGCCCTAAATACAAGAAAAGAAAATAAATCTGTATGATTCATCATGTTACTTACATTACTAATTATTCTGGAAATATATGTCAATATTCTGAAGAATCTTAAACCAGTGGGGAAAGACATTTCTCTAAAATAAGCAGAAAACCAGAATAAAGTTAACAACTTAAAGCTTGTCAAGAAAATACTCAGTGGTGCTTGTTTTACCCATCTAATAACAAGTTGAGTGGACCATAAAAAAACAGCTAAGAGTTCACATCATGATTAAGAACAACATGCAGAAATGACACTGAAGAGCTCTTCTGATAACCAGGCCAGCAAATATTGCAGCTTTATTTAGTGTACTGGGGTTCACTTCAACTCAACTGCCAAACATCTAGGGTTAAAGCCTCCGCCTTCCACAAATAGCTTCTACCCATAAATCGCAAGTATAAAAGTAGCCACAAAGCAGATCAAAGCCTGTTCTTAAACCTGACCATAAAAATAAGAAGTAATTCTGTTTAATATTGATCCCAGAGAACACAAGTGTCTTCCAATCTGAAAATCTCATGATACAGGAACAAGGTAGGGTAGTTATATTCCAAAGATTACACAAAGGAGCAAATAAAAGCCACCACCAAAACTCTGAGGTCACACGAAAGTTTAAAAAGACAGTGATTTTCCCGATAGTACTTACACTTTCATTTGTATTGAGTGTAAAGTTGATGTCTGAGACCCGATCAAAAGAAACACTACAAAAAGCAAAACAAGATGTTGCATTATAAGATGAAGACATTTAATTTTCTCTTAGTTTTCTCTGAAAATCTAATATTGAGGGCAAAGTGGTTTTCAATACAGAATAGTCAAATTCCACATTGAGGATGCCTGTCATTTTTCTAACTGTGAAATATTTTAAACAAAAACACTAAACAATGTCATCTCTACCCTATAGTTAGATGTGAAGATGCAACAAGCCTAAGAAAGCATAACTGAAATCATATATTAAAATATCAAAGACTGTTACACACTGGAATAAAAAGCAGGCCTAAAAATTGCCTAGTCTGACTATGATTATCCATTATATAGCTCAAAATCCTCCAAAGATCTGTGTAAGCAGTTCTTTTATCTTTTAACTGATTTCACCACTCTAAAAGACCTTCTCAATAGGAAGACAAAGTGAAAAATGTTAATATCAACTTCTGCTTTCTAGAGAAAAATAGTATCTATTTTTATGAACCAATCACTCCAGTTGTTTTTTTTTCCAAATCAAACATTAAATACTACAGTTTTCACCTCTTCACATATTAAGCTACTGAGCAGTTTCACTAAAGTAATTACAAACATGTCTTAGACTAAAAATAATATTAGGCAGAGTAAATTTCTAGAGGAAGCAATTGAAACAGAGCAGGAAAAAATGGGAAATACTACCAGAGTTTTCAGAAGAGTTAATGAATTCTCTAGCTACATACAGCAGTGCATTCAGCATGTACTACACTCTTCCCCTAATACTCATTGCATTACAAAGTATGGAACAGGGTAAGTAGCCTAAAGGAACTGAATTTTAAGTGCGACTGAGTTGCTGGGCAAGTTATCATCTGAATTACTATAGAATATTACGCAGGTAATTTAAGCTGTAATTGATTCTTGCACAAAAGGCATAACTTCAATACAATTTTATCTATAGCTTAATTCAACTCATAAATACATTAGTGTACCTATCACCAATCTTAAGAGACATGCTAAGACTAACACCATATGCTACCAAATGCATTTAAAGGAATAAAGTAATTCCAATTCTTATCCTTGTCAAAATCCACTTGCTCCTAACAAAGTTACAGTACCCCAGGTTGCTTCCTCTCCCATCATATCTTAATCGCAAGAGATTAGGTGGTGTAAAAAGACAGTAATACTTCTTAGATGGCGCATGCAAGCTTCAGCCAATCATCACCTACTAAACATGTCTTAGAGAAGAACACTGAGACATTTTATTGTATATTACCCTTCTAGAAACCATCTTCAAGTAATGCTTTTTTTTTTTTTTACCCTTATCTGCATGTTTTTATTCCAAACCATGAATTCTTACAAAAATCAAGATCAGCTCTATTTTCAGCAAGAGCTCCCATTCCTTCCATTTCCCACTACAGCATCAGTTTACTTAAAACTGAAGAAAGAGATCAGGTTTTGGGGGGGGTTTTGTTTGTTTGGATTTTTTTACCTGACCAAGATGGTTATAATTTCTTCATCACTTACTCTATTGGTAGAAATCAGTCTTAACTGCCACGACCCTGAAAACACAGATAGATTTACAACACCCTTTCTTTACCGTTCCCTACAGAAAAGTATGCTCGCTGGTATGTTGTTCCTGTTATCTTCTCTAGGAAAACGTAAAAGTGGAGCTATTAATCTGGTCAGGTACACAGATTCAGCAGAGAAAAAAAATAATCACTTTGAGGCTTGGAAAAAGTGCCTCCAAAAATTCCAAGACATAGGACAGGCACAGGTTTCAAAAGCATACTTATAATTTGGTTGTTTAGTAGCAAGCTCTGGGTTCTCATGTTGATACAACCAGGAGATTAGAAACGGAAGGAAGATAAGCTGTTGCTTTCCTCTTTAAACTGTTCAGAAAGGCTTCTACCAAGGTACACATATGGTACAAAAAGACAGGACTGACTGGCAACTGCCTTATGTAAGTAAAGGCTTGTATTAGAATCCGCAAAAACACAGACAAATACACCATAAGAAATGCAACTCCTAAGATTATATTCAAAGCCAGTATAATGTTATACTCACTTGCCAATGTCATCTTGATCAGCAAACTTCTCATCGTTGAAGCCGAACTGGTCAATAAAATTGGACGTCATTTGTTGCATCTGATAATCAGAAAAGGCCTGGCAACCCCAGGACCAACGACAGTGATATAATGATTCTAATAATACTCTAAATCCTATTTGCCCATTTTGCTCCAAAGAAATAAAGATGTCTCTAACGTAAGCATAAAGGACAGGAAAACCACACATCTACTTACATTTACTGACTTGAAAACCAGTCTAATAGCAGATCTCAATAAGAAAGTTGGATCTCTAGTTTAAC